GTTAACATTTGAAGACCAGTAACTGAAAATGACTGGTCTAGTATTAGAATTCATTGAACTTGAACACTACAACTCTACAACATATGACAAAAATGTCTTTTGGAAGATACATAAATCTTCATGTATCTGAGCTGAAGCCAAACTCTAGGTATTGAGAAATAGGAAGAAATGTTCCTCATAAGTAGATTATTTTAGAATAATAGAAAATGTAGGGCTAAAAGGGACCTCTGGAAGCCATCTAGTCCAACCCGCTGGCTAAAGCAGGATTGCTCTCATCCAACCCATGCCATTCCTGTCTAACCTATTACTAAAACTTCACAATCAACCTGTCATAACCCCATGGACAACAGACACCCTAACCCGCCACAGATAAAGCAGACGGAAACAGTAGCCAGTGTCATGCTGTTGTAAGGGTTGTAAAGATGTGCTTGAGAAACCCAAGGAAGAGGACCATACCCCGCAGCTACAGAGAAAGGCAAAATATCCTATAGTCTGTACTAATCTGACCATGGGGTAAAATAGGTACCTGCTGTAATGTTTCTTGAACTTTCCTGTGCAGCTTCTAATACTGACCACTGCTGAGAGGAAATCAAGCTAAATGAACTGTTAGACTGGCCCAGTATTGAAATTCCTCAATGCAGTCCTTGTTTTTGCAGGTCTATACCCAGATTTGAGAACTTTAAATGTCTTTTTTCAGGTTTTGGAATCTTTGTTTTACTCCTGAAAGCCAACACCTGGCACAATGTTAACACATTGGGCACATCTACACATTTTTAATGTGCCCTTGTTACTGCACTTTAAGTTTAGTACTTGGTTAACCAAGTACCAATTCAAGGCACAGTAACTTGTGCTACTGCACAGTAGTGCTGGCTCATGATTTAAAAAAAATATTTACTCTGCAGTAGCCTAATAACCCTGAGCAGTAGTGTATTAGTACGGTTTTTGACCGGTGTGCTACTGTGCAGTGTTATTAGGTTACTGCATAGTAAGCATCTCACGTAGATGCTCCCACTCTAAACTTACTAACTACCTTTTACTGGGTTTGTATTCCTAGTAAAGATATATTTTAAAAAAGCATCAATACTAAGGGACAGGTATCTAAAAAGTAATTATGGGCTCTTATGGGAGGTGGGGGCAGAAGAGGGAAGAGAAGAAAACCACCACCACCACTACCAACAACAACAACTTGTTCAAGCCCTTGCAGCAATTCCACTTGACATCAACATTTTGATCAGCACAAGAACTAATAAAGTGCCAACTAACAAAACTTTGAGCATATAAACAAGGGTAACAGCAAAAGCCTCTGAACAGGAGTATTGTTCATCCAACAGAGAAATAGAAACCCCTATGATTTGTATATCAAGAGTAATTACCACATCAGATATCAACGTGAACCAATTAAATTCTGTATATGGTCTAAAATTACTGAAGCATTTATTTTCTCCCTTCTCTCTCGCAACCTTTAAGCTGCATATTCTACAACCAATCCTTCCCCTTTTAGTCCCAATACAACTCAGAAGTTTTCCATGAACCTTGCACTTTAAAGCCATGCAAAGAGACCTCCTCAAGGGTGGTAGTTCTCAAGAAAGTAACATGAAATTCAATTCCTACTCTGATTTATGAAGTACAAGGTACTTTATTTAGTATTCAGTTAAAAGTTCAAAAGAAAAACTTGCAAAATTACTAAATACTTTTTAGCCTAATAAATGACCTAAAGAATAAGAATAACATTCTCTCAACCCTTACTTTGAAATCTATTGAAAGCATTTCCACAACGCTTATACCACATACTTTTATCTGAATGTACCCCATAGGCTCCCATGATTGCTTTTATAATCTCCTTTCCACCAAAATTGATATGGGAGGCTGTTTAGGTGCATCCCATGAAAGAGGCAGGAGGAAGCTATTTCCTGTTCTAGAGAATCAATCCTGATTCTGCTGAAGAAGAGCCACCTTTTAGGGAGAGCTTCTTTAAAGATAAGACTAGATACACTCAGTTAAACTATTTCATATGTTGCTGAGCCATAATGGGTCAGTAATTTTACTGTTCTGTGGCAACTACAAAAAAATTAGCTGAGTAACATATTTTCCTCATTACCCAGCTACTAAACTGCTCCTTTATGCAGCTAGAAAAGGTCAAATGTCAATTAATCTTTAAGATGGGAGTAAATCATCACTTATTTTCTTCACCAATTTTTTTTATCATAAGCATTTCAAAGGTAAGGACAAAATCTTTCTCTGGATTAGAAAAAGGCCTCTTTCATTTATATAACAACATCAACTACATTGGATGCAACTGGCTTGCATACAATTCACAAGAAGTAAGATATAATTTACAACAAACTACCCATTCTGATCCACTTGCTCAACTCAAATTCTATGCAGATGCAATTCTAGCAGCTACAAAGGCTGTGCTTAAAAAGTTTGTGGAGGGTGCAATAGCTTTTCCAAATAGCAGGTATACTGTGCACAATGCATGCTTTCTACTGGAGGATTTGAACTATAACCAGAGCCCCCATTGCAAACCCCAAGCTCTGATTGGCTATGTTGCCCTGTGGGGTCAGGGCAACTCTCAGGATTTCAATATTGCACTGTTAGACAGGAGGGTGTGACACAATTGCACATATAAAAACACACAAATTAATTAGGTGCCTACACACATGCACACTACCAACTCAGGCATATACACATCCAAACCAGCCTAGGCACATGCATACCTATCACCAATTCAATCACATACACACAACACACACAAAAAATTAGACAACAATCAGTTGTCAATACCTACACACTCTGTACACATACACAGATCACCAATTCATATATTACACACTCACGGACACCTATGTATATTCACCAACTCACACACATATCACTTACCTACACATACACACAGGTAAGTTCCTGACTTGGATGGTACAGTGTGTATGTGTGTGCTTGGGGTACCTGGGATACTTGGGGGAAAGTTAAGGAGAGAGAGAGAGAGTTAAAGTATAGGGAGTGAAAGTTGCCAGAACCAGGATTAGAACCAGTAGACTAGAGAGAAGCTGGTTTGGGGTTACTTAAGGTCAAGTGGCCCCAGAGTTACTTGAGGTCACTGGTGCAAGGGAAAAAGCCCTGTGGCAAGGAGGAGACAGCTAGGAAAGAAACTGAGACAGAAACCTGGGAGCTTGGGGGAAAAGGCAGTGGGGACAAGGCAATAACAGTGGCAGAGATCAGGAGAAAAGGCAGCGGAGACAAAGCAAAGGCAGTGGCAGAGTTCCAGGGAAAATGCAGTGGGGATGAGACAATAACAGTGGCAGAGATCAGGGGAAAAGCCAGTGGGGATAAGACAGTGGCAAAGAAACGGGGTTTGCAGGCAGAAAGGAGCTCAGGACAGGTGTTGGGGGTGGTAGTGAGCCAGAAACAGGAGAGGGAGAAATGAGACAGAAGTTAGAGGGGCGAGGAACAGAGATTGGAGCAGGGCCGGAACCATAGTAAAGCAAAACCCAACTCAGGGGTCCAAATAACAGTTTTATTAAACAGACAACACACTACACAGCCCCATGAAGTTATTGGTATACACACACACACAATGGCAGCAGGAGAAAGAGACTCAATGGAAGGGCTGGAGTCCAGGTAGGGAAGTCCTTGGTTGAAGACAGGGTGGGGGTGATAGCTACCTATTCTGGCTGGAAAGGGGTCCTTGTCCAGTAGGTGTTGTCCAGAGGGGGTTGCCAGCAGGGCCTCTGGGTAGATAGGTAGTGTGGCATGGTGCTGGTCCAGATGGAGAGGGCATCCCAAGGAGTCTTTACTACCCCTTTTACGGGGCAGACTACCTCTGATCTCCTATGGGGAGGGCCTGTCCAGGCAAGGTCAGTCCTGTTCCAGAGGGCTCCAGGTGTTCTTACTGAGCATGTGCAGCCTGGCACAATGGTGGGTTGCCTCATCTTTTGTTTCTTGAATGCTGAGGGTGGTTCCAACGGCTGGGTCATTGGGTTTTGATGGTTCAGTTATTCAGAGGGTGCTATTTTTGACCTACTGCCATTGTTTCTCAAGCACCATCATTCATCTCCATTTGTCCAGGAACCAATTTACATAGGAGGAGTAGGTATGAGTCATAGATTACAACATCAGGGGACACAAGATGGAGGCTTGACATTACAAGATGGAAACTTGACATGACTTATGCTAACTTACATATGTAGGCCTAAATCAAATAGTATCAGCAAAACAGTAATATAGAACATTAAAAATCAATATAAACATAGCAATTATACAATATAAAGAAGGAGAAAAAACAAAACAAATACAACTTGTTACCAAAATAAAATGTCGAAGCTTGTCCTGTGTTCTAGCTCACTTATGCTTATCTATAGGGAATAGAGAGGGAGAGAAAAACTTAGAAATGGTTGGGGAAGGGGAGGGAATGTATTTTAAAAGAAAAACTGGGGGTTTTGCTACAGCAACTAAGGAGTCATAAAAGCAGAGGGAGGGAAAAGCAGCTGGAGAGCTATACGGGAATGGAGCTGAGGCTTGCTAGGGAGCAGACTTCAGGATGGAGGGGAGCCTGAGTTATCCCAGGAGAAGATGATTCCCCACCCAGGGTCGGAGCTGTGCAATCAGGGACACAAGTTCCTAGAGAAAGAGTGGGCAGGGGTTGGTAAGCTAGCTGGAAGAAGCTGCCTGGTCAGGGGCCTGCAGAGGGAAGTCCTCTGTTTGGGCTGGAAAGTCTTGAACTGCAGGGACAGAGGCCTGCAGAAGGAATCCCCTGTCTGCATGTGGAGGTGCTGGGGGAGCAAGACCCAGAGAGGGAGCAGGCTGTGAAAATCCCAAATCTGCAGGGGTGTGGGAGGGGACACCTAACGCCTAGTGTTTGCAGGAGATGTACTTTTCAAAAGGAAACTAAAGAAAAGAAGCCTATTACCTATAGTGTACCTTTCCAAATGTGGAATACATACATTTAGTAAAAGACGAAAGAACTTTTTCCAGGCCTAACACAAGTTTCCGTATTTATTCAGGTTGTATCTGCTGCAGTAATTTGAAGTGACAGCTTGGTTTGAAGCACCCTCTAGTGGCATGAAGATTTCAGGTCTTAAATCTGAATATCAGATGGAAAGGTAAGCAGGCTTCAAAGGGAGATCACCCTTTGAAAAGGACTAAAAATGTTGCTGGTATTGTAATTATTTTGCCAGCAATGCTGTTAGATAGAATGAGGACTCTGAATCATCTCTGTTGCTCTAGTGCATGGATGCTTTTCTGGCAGAGTCCTGTGCAGCACTGTGGTAAAAAAATAATAAAGTGTGTCTGGAGGCAATCAGGAGCTAAACTGTTGGGACCTAGCTAAGAGGTGCCAAGCTTTCTGATGCCTCAATTAGTCTGAACTGTTCACATGAGAGAGAAAGACAGTAACATATGTAGCTGCCATGACTTTGACTCATTTAAGATAGTTCTAAAGGTATTGCTTTAGATTTATAACAAGAAAACCTTTCCATAGGACTGGGTGGGGAATGAAAAGAATCTAGCATGGTATTATACATATGTGTGAAAATGGCTTCAGAATTCCTGAGTGCTGCTGCTGGAAGCCTGGCTGCTAATAGAAGCAAGCTGAGCACTTGTTCCTTCATATACACCTGTACAACTCCAGCCATCAGTATAGCAGAGGTGGGATCTGTCTCTATGTATTTATACAGGGAGATTCCACACTTCAGAACACCACAACAAACCTTACCAAAGAAGCAGCAACCGGGTTTCAGTTGACTCTTCATGTGGTCATGTGTTACTTATCAACAATAATGGAAGTAGAATTGTACCCAGTTTAGTTATTTTACAGATTTCTTATTCTAAATACATTTTTCTACATGATGCATCTTAATTAAATGTGTAATTACACAGCCTGACTCTTGTTCTGCTTATTGAAATGGGAAGAGAAGACTAAAGCTGATTTAAACACCAGAGTACAGCAGAACAACTTGGATATGATTATTTATTTTGAATACAAGTGGAAATAAATCCATACTTTACATTATAGCTTAAGTGCTCCTAAAGGGGCTTTTTCTTGACTGTTTTAAAAGTTATCTTCACTAAGTTAGTACAATTAACAGAGAAGATAAATGGCAGTGACTGAATTGGCATCACAGGTTTGCATATCTGTGTACACACACACATACATACATACAAACACAATTTGAAGCTGACAAAAACTTAGACTGCTCATCTGTGTATCAAGATGATGCCTAAAGCTTGGGCAAGGAATTCATTTATATGTAACAAAGAAAACATAGAAACAGATACTAAGCAATATAAATATCATGCATTCTCTATAGTACTTTCTGGGTGTGTTTTGTTTGTAGTTACTTGTATATACGTTGGTAGTGCAGTAGATTTCATTTCAAGCCAGGTAGAAAACTGTAGGAGCTGCTTCTTAAAAGATTGTTAGAACACCACTGCCATAGTGATTATCTCCTCAACCCCATTGTTTTTTTGTTTTTTTTTTTCATTTATAGAGGACTACCTCATTAATACCATATGCTTCTATCTAAAATTTCTGATAGGTGAGGTTATCAAAATGAGGAAAAAACACAAGGAGCCTTTGCAGCTTGCAAGTTACTAAATTTTCATCCCTTTAATTATAAGACTTTCAAAATAAACCGACATTTACAAGAAGAGATAATGATACAAAGTTTGTGATGCTTATCTGCTAAAATGAACAAGCATGGCTAGAAGGCTCTTCACTGAATTAGATGCAGAATAGTGGAGTCAAACCCTGTATTTTTATTTCATTGCACCATCTAGTGGACAAATATGTTAAAATACCTGAACTGACTAATAGAGCTAGGTTCGCATCAAGCCATCTTATTCACTACAGTGTATGCACTCTGCACAGCAAAAGTCTATGCCCTATGCCTGAGAAAAGCTAATGCTGGAAAAGCTAAAGGATTTTACAGGGTGTTATTTCCTGCTCTTTTTAAAGCACTTGGAGAAATTCAACTGAACCAGGGTCTGCATTTTCAAAAAGAATTCACAATTGCAGGTATCTCCTTTTTTAAAGACTAAGCGAAGACACTTCTAAGGATATTAAGTATATTCCCCCTTTGAAAATTAGGATCCTTTAAAGCTGGGTCTTCAACCTTTTTAAACAAATATACCCCTTCTGCCACAAAGTTTCAGCTCATGTACACCTTTATATTTTTTTTCTTGGTTTTAAGGGGTGGGGGGCAGAGCAAGGCCCCCGTGGTGAAGGAGGGAGTGAGGCTGGGGTAGGAGCAGGGACAGGTGCTGCACAGCCAGGGCAGAGTGATGGATGAAGTCACACAAGCAGTTCATCTGGGAGGTGCAGGGAGAGGGGCAGTTCCTGCTGCTGTGCACACCCTGGTGGACATTCAGTGGGCACATGCCCCCCTGATCTGTGTGCAGGGCGGAGGCAGCTGCTGGTGCAGGCTGGACTCTGCACCCAACTGCCCCAAGAGCTGTGCAATGCTATGTGCCTGCTGTGGCTGGGTGGGTAGGGGACAGACACACACATGCAGCCACAGGCACAGACATGCAGATGCAGGCACAGATGAGTACATACACAGGCAGACAGACATGCAGAGATGGAAACACACACACACACAGGTAAGTGTGTGTGAGGGGAAGGGGTGGGGAGAGGGAGAAGGAAAGGGAAAGGGCTGAGCAGGGCCAGATTGAGACTGGCAGGGGGGGTGTGTCTCTGCCCACTCCCAGGAGCAGG